AAGGGAAAAAAAAATTTTTTTTTGAGGTTTTTAAATGAAGAGGAAAAATGAAAGGAAAAAACGGAAAGCCAGAGAGATAGAGAGGGAGAGAGAGAAAGAGAGAGAAAATGGTAGTAATAATAATAATTATGAAAAGAAAAATTTAATTTGAAATTTGTGAAAATCCCCACAATTCCCCACAATATATAAACGTCATTAATCATTATGAGAGAAAAAAAAATGATCGCGAGCCAAATTACGATTGAATTAAAAAAAAAAAGAAAATGTCGGCTGCATATAAATAAAAATGGCGTCAACGCTCATTTTACTACCATTGACTCGTCTGCCATTAAAAATTTTTTTTTTTTTTTTTTATTTGACTGTTGAACTAATAATAATAATAATAATAATAATAATGAAGAGGAGAAGTTTAGTTGTTCTTATATAATTATTTATCAAAGGAGATTTTTAATTGTTTCGTCTCTCTCTCTCTCTCTCTTTTCTCTGCAGTGATACGTTATTGGTTTTTATTTTTGTTTTGTCGATTTCCTTCGATTCGAATTAGTAGAGTATAGCGACGCATTTGTTATTATATAGGAAACGTGGCACTAGATAATAAATAAAATGGGTGAAACATATATACGAGGAAGTGTCTTTAAAACAAGGTTTTCATTATTAAGGATTTTTGCTCTCGCGAAAAACCTCGCGCGTTTCAGGAAGGAAACCTTTTCCACCGGGAAACGTTCCCGCCGGAGGGACAGGGCGGGGCGGGGTGGGAGAGAGGGGGCAAAAATATTTAACACCGGTTTTTTTCGTTTCTAAAATCTTATCTCCTCTTCCTCCTTTTTCTCCTTCGTTTTTACAAGAGGAATTGGAAATTCTTTCGTGATTCTTCTGTCTGAGAATTCGTCGTTTCGATTAAACCAACAAACAAATAATAATAATAATAATAATAATAATAATAATAATGATGATGACGATAAAATAATTTAAAACTTTGTTATATTGTTAGTGAAACTTGGACTCTTGGAAACAACGTAATTAAAGACAAAACACAAGACGAGACTTAGTATTATTATTATCATCATCATCATTATTATTGTTTGACGTAAAACGAACGTTGGGATGAAATGTGTTTGATGATTTATTTGTATTCGATTCCTTTTTTTTTTTTTTTATCATCCCAACCTTTGACGACAAAGTTTTTTTTTTTCTTCTTAGTATTGCAGAAGAAAACTTGTTTAACTTGATATTTTAAATCGGAAAGTTGTCGATGATAATGATAATAATGATGATGATGATGATGATGATGCGAATTTCACCAAGTCTTGTGTGATTCTGAAGAGGTTACAATGAGGTCCGACAAAGTTAGTTCAGAGGGTCGATAATTATTATTACGAAATTCGAACGATGAAAAAAAATTATTATTATTATTATTACTATTATTACAATTGTTTCTCAAACGTATTCTTATGTAATTTTTAAAAATTTCAACTTCTTTTCGTTTTTGGTGTGACCGTTTAAAAAAGATGGTGGGTTTTGCAATTACCTTTAAAAACCGTTTCTTGTGTGTGCGTGTGGAGGGGTAATGAGGAGCCCGACCTCATAATCATCATCATCATCGTCTGGGAAATATGATACCTTTGGGAAAAACCTAATCGGTAAAAAAAAATAACAACAAGTCGTGGCAGGAGAAGTCAATGTTGATTTTTTTTCGCAATAGACACATTCGATTTTCGTAATGAAAATTTATTCGAAAAGAATTTTTTTCACGGGGGAGTTACTCGCCATGTTTAACTTTTTTGTGTTGGTAGCTTTGTCGAAGGTAGATAGATAAAGGATAGGTATAAAGTTAGGGGGTAGCGGTAATCCTGCAGTTTTCAATCTTATGCGAAAAAGTGTATACTTATCATCATATGTTGCGCTGTTGTCATCAAAACCAATATGGCTGCTCCCTACGTATGTTTGTTTATTTGTTTACTTATTTTTTGTCTTCTGATAATAATAATAAAAATAAAATAAAAAAAACAAATTTTTGTTTTTTAGGTGAAGGCTCGTCATTATAATAAAACCGCCTCGTAATAAAATCGACGACGGTGTGTGTATCATTTGTCGGCTAAGGTCGTCACAAACATTATTTATCTCTCTCTGTCTGTCTCTCTCTCTCTTTTCATTTCCCCCTCTCTGCCCCCTCTTTCTCTCTCTCTCTCTCTCTCTCTCCGTATATGCAAAAAAAAATAGAAGAGCCGAATATCATCTTTTACACCCACTCTCTCTCTTTCTCTCTCTGCCTTTCTTCCTTTCTCGGTCACTCGTTGAGACACAAACGATTATCGATACGATTTGTTTGTAAATCGAATTATTTCGATTAATCGAAAAAACGTCGTCACAATCGGAATAAACATAATCTTCTGTTTACGAAAACTCACATATCGTTCGTTCGTTCGTTCGGTCTGGGTTTATTTACTTAAATTCGAGCTCAAGGTTTTTATTTACATAGGAAAAAATATCGATACATAAATTTTTTTTTCAAATTTTTGTTACACGTTAAAATAAGTTACTTACTCTATTGACACGTTGAATTTTTTTTTTAAAGCCCTTTCGAAAACGCAAAAAAAAAATTGATTTATGTATCGGGTTCGATATCGAGTGTCAATTAAATAAAAATTATTCATTTATTATTATTATTATTATTACTGAATTCGTTATAAGAGACGACTACTACTACAACTACAGCAAATTTTCCTTTTGGGTAAATGTAGGAAAATGTTTTTATTTATTTTTCGGGGGGAATGAATGAATGAATGAATGAATGAATGATTGATCGATTGTAAACTTGTGGGAAGAAACAAACGCGAAAGTGTCAATTCGAACGGTTCGTTGAAAATCATTTATATGTTAAATTCGTTAAAAAAAAGACAGAGAGAGAGAGAGTGTGTGTTTGTGCGTGTGCGTGCACGTGTGCGCGTGTGTTCGAATCGAAAGAAAGAAAAAAAAAAAAAAAATTCACGAGTAGTGATTTTGACCGCGTGACACAGATAATGGCGGCCTATTTAATATTAAATTTACATGAGTTTCACAAAAAAAAGTTTTACGACCGAATTTAAACAAACTCGCGCGTGTTTTTCTTTTCGAAATGATATTAATAATGATAAATTTTTGATGACATCAATAGAAAATTTTTTTTTAGTTTTTCCCGGGTGTTTTCCCGGGTGTTTTGTGGTGACTACCTACCAACCCTCTAGGAATGTTTCATTTACTTCGTCGTTTATCATTTTTTTTTTTTTTTGCTGTAAAATGATGTGTTTCCGGTTTGAAATTCGTTTCGATTAGGAATTTTTTCTTTGTCGTTAAAGCGTTTAACGGTATCCGGGGGGGAGGGAAAGACTCCCCATTAATTTTTATATATATATAAATAAATAACTGGAAATTTGGATTTGGTAGATGATGATAAAATAATTAGGGAAAAATACTTTTTGACGCAAATGGAAATTTTTTTATTTATTTTTATTATTTTCTGGAGGGAAATTTTTTTTTTTGGGGGGGGAGAAGGGAGGGGGTTGGTGTTCAGTGACGTAAGCATTCGTATAAAATCTTACGAAACGATCTGGAAAAAAATTTTTTTTGTTTTTTTTTTTTTTTATAAGTAAATTCGGTTTTTGAAATTTGTTTTCACGTTCCATCAAACGTTCGTAATCGAAAATTTTTATGTGGACACCTCCCCCTTTCTCTCCCCCTTCTCCTCCTCCTCGAGAGTCATTTGTGATGATGATGATGATGATGATGATGATGATAATTTATTTAAATTTTCACAAAGAATATTTTTTTGAGTTTTTATTATAAGCGGTGGTTTGTGTATATTACACACTTTCGACGATCGATTGATAATGTTATCAACATTAGAATAATAATAATAATAATAATAATAATAATAATAATAATAATAATAATAATAATAATAATAATAAATTTTTTAAAATTCATCAACGGAGGTCTCAAATGCTGACGAAGATGATAAAAAAAAAAAAATTTTTTTTTGTCCGTTACTTTAACGTAACAATTACGTTTCAAATCTCAAAAAAAAAAAGAGAGAGAGAGAGGGAGAGGGAGAGAGAAGGAAAAATTTGTGCGTCGGTTGACGTCGTTCATCATCATCATTATCATCATCATCATTATTGTCTCGCATATTATTCAGTAAGAAATCATCTTTCGTCGTGTTAACTTTTTCGTTTTTTTTTTATTTTTCAAAATAAAATTTCGGTTCGGTTTGTTTTACCCCTTCTCCGAGATTTGAATAATTCGTTTGTAGTTTAAAATTTTCGCGCCTTTTTTTTTTGAATTTTTTTTTGAATTTGTGCGTCAAAATATCACGTAAGTTTTTTTTTTTCGTTTGTTTGTTTGTTTAAAGAGAAAAAAAAAATTTTATTTAGGGCGTGATGAATAAAATTAAATTTTCCAAAAAAAAAAAAAAAAAAAAAAGAAGCGCAACTCTTTTGTAAAAAAAGAAAAACCGGAAACGAATAATAATAATAATAATAATAATAATAACGAATTTCGATTGTTTTGATTCCGTGAAAAAAAATTTTGCATAAGAAATAAAAAATGTCGATTGATTTGTTTGAAATGTGTCGACCGTTGAATTCAAATTAGTTTTTTGTAGTTTTTTTTGGGGGGGGGGTAACAAAAATGGCGGGAATAATTTTTTTTTTTTTTGGGAACAATAAGAAGCGTAAAATGCGAATTTAATAGTAAATTAAAAACCCTCCCTTCCCCACAACCACCACCACCACCGCCGCCGCTCTTAACTCACTGACATTCTTTATTATTATTATTAGTTTCAAATTGACTCAAAGGAATTTCATTTCTTTCTGGAGGTCAATGCCTGGAGTAAAAAATAATAATGATAATAATAATTAATTAATTAATGAAAAGGAGCAGACGATAAAAGAGCAAATATATAAGAAAAAATTTTTTTTTTGTTTTTTTTTTTCCGGTTGGTTTTCCTCGCAGTACCTTCTCCGATGTCTTTGGCCGGAGTTCGTCCACTCGGAGCTCATTCGGCGACCGATTTGATAAATCGGAGTCACAGTTACGGAGCATTGAGCGCATTGAGCCGCGGAAGTTACGAAAGTCTCAGCTCTCTCGATGACGTACATCATTTTTTGAGTCAATCCGAGCAAGCCGTTTTATCAATCGAAGAACTCCGACTCCAATTGAATTCTTGTTTCACGTAAGATTATTATTATTATTATTATTTTTCTATTGCCACGATTAAAAATTAAAATACAATTCAGCGGTAACTATAATTAACTAATTAACGAAAGAGAGAGAGAGAGAGAGCGAGGGGGAGGGAGGGAGCGAACGGAAAATTTTAAAAAATGTCATTCAACCGAATTTTTAATTAGAGACTACTCGAATCGAATCGAATCGATTATCGAGTGTTATTGTCTTTTATTAAACCGGAAATACGTTTTTTTTTTTGTGTGTCATCAGGTGCGGCGTGAGCTGGCAAGACGAACACGTTTCCCTGGATTGTTCCGAATGCGGGGGTTATTCTCTCGTTCGCCCATGTCCCACCTGCGAAGGACGATGCGATAGCATATGGAAAAGAGATTTAACGATGACTCACGCATCCGGAAAAGCGAGATGGGAAGGAAAATGCGGACTCGATAGATCTCTAGCACAAACTCGTATCATACTACAATCCCTGAGTTTAAGTCCTCCCGAGGGAAACGAGTCTCATCAACGTAGTTGTCAACAAAGATTAGATAATAATAATTTGAAATCGTGATTTTTTTTTTTTCTTTTTCTTTTTTTTTTTTTTTTTTTTTTTTTTACTTTCACCTCACATTATTATTCACTCCATTCGAAAAAACCGGAAACATTGTTTTGTATAAAATAACGTAACAATATTAATAATAATAATAATAATAAAAGGGAAGGAGTCACATGCACGTGTCGTTGCGTTTTTTCTCACACGTGCATCACTAAAACAATCCCTTAACGTTCGTTTTAATTCAAAATTTAATTTTTTTTTTTTTTTTTTTTTAAAAGACTGAAATTAAAACTATTTTCTTTTTATTTATCCGAAATGTAATAATAATAATAATAATAATTTATTTCGCATAATATTATATGGCAAGAGTTAACGAACGAAGCCATAAAAACCGTTAAAAAAAAAAACGTTTGTGTAAGAAGTAAGAGAGAAAAGAAAGAATATAATTCATCTGTGATTTTTTCTTTTTTTTTTTTTTACTTTACCGTATTGTAAAAAAAAATTTAAAATTACGGTAATAAAAAGAAAAAAAAAGAAAATTTTTTTTCTTAATTTCTATATATAAACGTTATAAAAAAATAATAATAATAATAATTTTTTTTTTTTTATATATACATATTTAATAAATAAATAAATGATCGTTTAAATAAATAAATAAATGAGTCGTTGTTGTTGTTTTTTTTTAAAATTTTATTACTGGTAATTATTTAAATTTTGTTATTTTATTACTCGAGTGTTGGTATTAAAAATCTACAAAAGGTTTTATTCGATTGGAAAAAGTCACATTTAATCAATTAAATTTTTGTTTTTTAAATTTGGGGGGAGGAGGGTGGGGATAAAAGAGAGAGAGAGAGGGAGGTAAAAGAAGCAAACAAATTTTTTTTATGTATTTCGATTTAATTCTTTATTATTATTATTATTATTATTATAATGACTTCATTTTTTTTGGAAATGAATTTGTGACATTTATTGATAATAACTTTTTTCAAAGAATGATTCATTTCACCATTTTAAAAAAGTTTAAAAAATAATCGCTAATTAAAAAAAAAACAAAATGGCAGCAATTTTTTTTAGGCCGATATTTTTTTTAAATAACTAAAATTAAAAATGAAAAAAAAATTTTTTAAATGATTTTTATTCGTTATATAGAATAAATTTCATTATGGGAAGATTAATTAAAAACTATGATGGTTTAAAAATGAAAAAAAATTTTTTTTTTTTTTTTTTTTTTTTTTGTTTTTAAGGACATTTTGGAGGTTCTTCTTCGTCTGAATCAAATTCCACATTCGGATCTTTTATCCATTTTCCATTCGAATCTTGTATCCAACCAGATTCGAATAGTTTCAAGTGATAATTAACATCTTGTCTGTTTTTTGATGAATTATCAATTTTATCTTCTCCTTTTTTAACATCTAATTTTTCAGGGGAACATATTTTACTCTGACAATTTTTAACACCATAATTTTCACGTAATTTGTGTACGGTTTTTTCTAACGATTCTTTTCTATATAAACTTTTTAAATATTTTCGAACTTGTGAATTAGCAGAAGATGTCACTACTGTGGGTGGTTTAAAACTGTTTTTTATTTTGGCACAAGATTCTGTTATATCCAAAACAAATTTTCTCCCCATTAATCCCCCCAATCTTTTTCTTTTCGATATACTTTTAGGGCATCCTATCATGTTTGCAGATGATGTCGTGTCAGCTTCAATCGATATTTGATCAGTCTTAAGAAAACTTTTTTGAGTTTGTTTTGCCTGTTTATATTCTAAATCTCCTTTTTGCTGTAGGTACAAACTTAACTCTACAATTAAACAAAGTGAGGACATTAAAAAAAAAAATATTCCATTCATTAAAATGCCTTATATGAATAACATACCAAATAAATGTTTCTTTCCTTTTCTGTGCAAAGATAGCATTTGAATTGTGTCAAATATAGGTCTTTTCGAACAAACTGTACAAGTAAGTCTGAAATTAAAGTATTAATGTTTTATCTATCTATTAATGCTACAAAATAATAATTTTTTTTTTCTTTTAATGCCTTCATTTTTGATTTTGAGTCGTACGAAACTTACTTTCCATTACTCAGTAGTAATGCTTCATCATTGGGAATATAATCTCCCAATATTTCAATAACTCTTCTGTGCTGAAGATTTTTCAGCAAATTTGTATCATTTCCATCTCTTTTGAAAGACATTATTAAAAAAAAAAAATAATTAATTAATGTGTAAACACCATGTGTTCGAAATTACGTGTAAGATAAATTAACGTGTCAGTAAAATTAAACGTGGCAACGATTCAGCAAAAACCACTTGTTATAAAAATGGCGGTGTTCCCTCAAAAAAATGTCCGCTTTTTTCACAGTTTGGTGAATGTATTAAAAGTAAAACGGGTAGAAAAAAATTTTAAAAATGAAATATCACTTCAACAGGCGAGATTTGCTCATTTTAAATATTACACAGAGGAAAAAACTTTTACAGGTAATTTAAATTTAATAAAAATAATTTCATCGGTGAAAAACCTTGATAACGAATCTAAATTTTATCAATTAATGAACAATGCTACTTATTTTTTCCTTGTAATACATTTTTTTTTTTTTTTTTTTTCTAATGATTCCTTTTTAATAGGTGAAAATATGAAAATCTTTAATTTTTTTCATTTTAGAAAAGGTGACAAAAATAAATATGTTTCAAGCCATCAATAGTGCATTAGATATTGCATTAGAAACGGATAAAACTGCTCGTAAGTATAAGCACTGAATAAAAGTAAAGTAGAATAATTAAAGCTTGTTATTTTGTTTTATGAGTTTTTTTAGTTTTTATGCTAGTATGCTAGTGTGTTTTTTAGCATGAGTTTGTATTTTAGTTGTTTTCGGTGAAGATGTAGCTTTTGGAGGTGTATTTAGATGTTCTTTAGGACTAAGAGAAAAATATGGTGCAGAAAGAGTGTTTAACACTCCTCTCTGTGAACAAGGTATAGCTGGATTCGGCATTGGTGTAGCCGTAACAGGTGCTACAGCTATTGCAGAAATACAATTTGCTGATTACATATTTCCAGCTTTCGATCAGGTAACGATAAATTTTTTTAGTAGAATTTGATTTATTTGCTTTTCATATCGATTTGTGTGTTTTTCATTTTGTGTTAATAATTTATTAAAAAACTTTTCCACTATAAATCTTTTTTTTATTATTTTTCAGATTGTCAATGAAGCTGCCAAATACAGATATAGAAGTGGTAATCTTTTCGAATGTGGAGCATTAACTTTTAGAGCACCATGTGCAGCAGTAGGTCATGGAGCTTGTTATCATTCCCAAAGTGTTGAAAGTTATTTCGCTCACACTCCAGGTTTAAAAGTTGTCGTTCCAAGGGGTGCTTACACAGCTAAAGGACTACTTTTAAGTTGCATAAGGGATAAAGATCCATGTTTATTTTTCGAACCGAAAGTATTGTATAGAGGTGCCACAGATGATGTGCCAGATGGCGATTATGAAATTCCCATTGGCAAAGCTGAAATATTAGTGCCAGGTGATAAACAAAGTCGAAAGTTAAACATAATAAATTACATGCATTCTCATTATCATTATCAAAGATAACAATATAATTATGTAATTGTAGGAAAAGATGTCACCGTCGTCGGTTGGGGAACGCAAATTCACGTGCTTAGAGAAGTTGCCGAATTAGCTAAAGAAAAATTGGGAGTCAGCTGTGAGGTTATAGATCTTATGTCAATTCTACCTTGGGATGAAGATTTAGTTATCGAAGTAAGTTTTTTTTTATTTTTTTTTGGGGGGGGGGAGTAGGAGGGGAATAAAATTAAATCAATAAATTATTATAATTAGGCCTACAATGTAAAACATGTGATTTCCGTATCGCATTATCATCGTTATGCCACTAAAAGTGAACCTTGAACTTCAGAATCTCTGTGAATTTTTTTTTTTTTTTTTTTTTAAATTTATTATTATTATTATTATTATCATCATCATCATCATTATCATTATCGTCGTTATTAATTTTCTTTTAATAACTGTAATAAATTTTTAAAGTTTTTTAATTGTTTTCCATTTTATTTTCACAGTTGAAACAAATATTTAATATTATAATAATTTATTACCGCCATTTTTTTAATTTTAATTTTATTTTTTTCTTATCCGTCGGAATGTGAGTGTGTGCGTGTGCGTGTAAAGAAGGTCAAAAATAATTGTTGTTAACTAAATAATAATAATAATAATAATAAATTTATCTGATGTAAGATTTCGTCGAATTGGTTCACTTCGTCCTTGTTAGATAATAAATAAAAAAAAATTTTATTTTTTTAAAAAGTTTTGTTTTCACTATTTTACAATCGTTTTGATTTTGAAAAAAAAAAATTCTTATCCGTTCATGCATTAAAAATAATAATAATAATAATAATAATAATAATAATAATGTAGGCTAGGGTTTTTTTGTCACCTTTGTCGATAATTGAGAGTTGATTGACTTCTTTTTAAAGTTTTAAAACGCACAACTAATTGTAACGTTAAAAATCATTTGCTACAACAACAAACAACAACTCATTGAACTTTCAATATTGCAATTTTTTTTTATTATTATTATTACGTAATAACAATGATTTATTATTATTATTATTATTATTATTAATATTTATCCGATTGATTCGTTTTTATTTAATGTTTCAGTCGGTGAAGAAAACTGGAAGGATTTTGGTTGCTCACGAAGCGCAACAAACGTGCGGTTTCGGTTCCGAAATCGTTGCCACCATACAGAGAGAATGTTTTTTACATTTGGAAGCACCCATAATGAGAGTGACGGGTTTCGACACGCCTTTCCCCCACGTTTTCGAACCCTTTTACCTCCCCACGATATGGAGGTGTTTCGAGGGAATCAAAAAACTCATGGAATACTGATAATCTGGTAAAAAAAAATAATAATTTCTTTTCTTTTTTTTTTGGGGGTTTCTCTCGTTTGTTTCTCTTACGAGTTACTCATCGAAATTTTAACGATTTAATCTAGATTGCGATTGATTAGTTTACTAAAACATTCTAGAATGGATTTCCGAAATCCCTAAAACGGGATGATTTCGCAGGGAATCGGGTTGAGGTTGGGTTAATAATAAACACGTCATGAAAATTCGTTTCGATTAAAAGCGAAACTTAGTAATAATAATAGTTCGATTAAAAAAATAATCGAAACAAACGAGAGAAATCGATTGATCGATTGTTCGATCGATAAATCGATGGATCGAATTCGTGACTTTTTGTAAATTTCTCCTCACTTCTTGTAATAAATAATGAAAGGATTCGAATTCTAATAATTTGAATTTCGATATAAGTTTGTAATTTTTTTTTTTGGAGTCGAATCTCGATCTATCGAATCGATCGATAAATTTTAAAAAAATAAAAGGAAGGCGCGATTTTTTTTTTTCGAATGGTTTGTTGTCGTTCCGCCATTTGCGGTTTTTTTTTTAAACGTATTTGTTAAGCAACGGTTTTTTTTTTTTTTTTTTTTTTTTTTTTTTTTTTTTTTTTTTTTTTGGGGAAAAATTCCGTGAAACTTGCAATCTGGCATTGATTGATCAACAATCCGAATCAATTTCGAAATTTTTTGCGTTCACATGAAGTGTAAGAAAATAAAAAACAAACAAACAAACAAGCCAAAAAAAAAAAAAAGAGAGATTTTGTTTGTTTGTTTGTTAACGTAACGGATTAATTACGTTTTCATGTTAATTATTTTAAATCATTATTATTATTATTATTTTTATTTTTTTCGATATTGGTACATTGTGACGGTTTCAGAATAAGAAGAAGGTATATGTGAAAAATTAGTAAAATCGTTTGTTTCATGTATGCGTTTGTTTGTTTGTTGCGTGTTTAAAAATCTTTCCTTTTTTATACCGTCGGTTCGGATTTATTTATTTTTTTTTTTTTGTTTGTCGGATTATTTTTATTTTTGGGTCATCGGCGCCATAGGATTTCGAGATTAAATTAATTAAATCCTTCCTCGTCAAATCTTACCCGTGAGAATATAAAATTTCCCCGTTTTCTCTCTCTCTCTCTCTTTAAGAAAATTGTCTGTTAAGATTTTGATCAAAAGAAATGGCCGCCATTTTATTTATTTATTTTTTTTTTGTTTATGATTCGTGAAATTCTATATGAAAGTTTAAATAAAAAAAATGTTAAATAACGAATCAAACGTCTCGGAAAAAGTTAAAATAATAATAATAATAATAATAATAATAATAATAATAATAATAATAATAATAATAATAATAGTATTAATAATAATAATAGTAATAATAATAATAATAGTACAAGACTTTAAGGGTATTTCAAAACGTTTTATAAATGTAACCATTAACTAACTATTTTCGGTTGGTTCGGTTATTTAAAAATAATAAAAATGAGTTGCGATTGTCATGAAAATCTAATAAAAAAAAAAAAAAAAAAATTAATGACGTAATTTTATTTATATTATTCGTTTATTATTATTATTATTATTATTACTACTACGATTTTTTGGGCAATAGCCTTCGTAAGTTCAATATTTAACCTTTGGTACCGTTATTTTATTTTAATAATGATGACGTAATAATACGCGTTAAAAGTGATTTTTTTTTATTTATTTATTTATTTATCGACAGGTGTCGCTCTCTATGCGGATTTTATTGTCATTAATATTATCACACTATTCGGTTTGTGATATCAGAAGAAAAAATAATAATAATATTAATATTAATAATGATGATTTTGTGTGTGTGTGTGTGTGTCGAACAACAATCGTAATAATTTTCAATCGTTGTTGGACTTCGAGGCGTGTTTTATTATCATTATCATTTAGGTGTATAACCAGAGAGGGGAAGGGGAAGGAGAGGGGAACGAAGTGACGAGGCGTGTAGAAAAAAAAAGTGCATTTTTCGCGTTATTAAGGCACGAACAACAATCGTTTTAAAACACGCCGTAATCGCGAGTGAAGGTTGCGATTTGAAAGGACGGTTGATGCCCTAAAAGTTTTTTTTTTTTTTTTTTTTTTTTCACATTTACTTTTTCCTATATTCGTAACCGCACATTCCGAATCATTATTATCATTATTATCACTGGTCGAAAGGTAACAAAGGAGAGGGAGAAAGGAAAAAAAAAAATTTTTTATACGCGTTTTGCGAATTGTATAAAAGTGATAAATTCGGGAAACGGTTGAAATTCTTTTCCTCCCCCTCCCCCTCTCTATTCCCCATTTTTATTTTTCCTCTGCGAAATTTTATGAAAAATGGAAAATTCCCCCCCCCTCCTCCTCAAGGAAAGAGGGATTTTCCCCAAGGGAATTCTTAAAAAAAAAAAAACTGTTGCAAAACGATAATGTAAAATTTTTTTTTTTGCGAAAAATGAACGAAATCGTTTTTTTTCCGCATTTTTTTTTCCTAAAAACCGGAAATTGCCGATTTCGTACTCGTTTTTTTTTATTTTTGCATTTTTTCTTCTGCTAATTATTATTATTATTATTATTAATATTTTAATGAAAAATCATTTTGATTGATTATAATTATGCAAAAATGATAAATTTCACCGCCTTTGGTGAAAAAATTGAAATTTTTCTCTGTCAAACAATGGCGCGCTTTTTTTTTTTTAAATTATTATTATTATTATTATTATTATTATTAGTATTAGTATTATTATTATTATTCAAAAAAGTTTAGGCGTAAATTTTTCCGCCGCGTGACGTAAAAAAAGAAAGGAAAAGCGTTCGCGCGATTTTCCTTTTTTTTTTAAATCAATTTTCCCCCTTTCTTTTTTCTTAAATTAATAATTATAACGATTAGCTTATGGGAAAGCGCATGCGGGGAAATTTAAAATGATGTACGGAAAAATCATAAACGTCGTTTAATATTGATAATAATAATAATAATTTTGATAATATTCGTTTAATTAATTTTATTAGAACGTCTTTTCTTTTTTTCTTTTCTTTTTTTTTTTTTTTTAATTAGTAACGAGTTACGAACATTAAAAATTTTTATTTTTTTTTGTAATTTAATTCGGTTATTAGTGATAAGGTTAGTTTAAGTTTTTTTGCAAAACAATTAATTAATAATTGTTGAGTAATTTTAAGTAAGTTTGAATTCAAAGTGAAAGTTAACGGGTTTTTTTTTTTAAATGATTACCCCAAACGTATGATTTTAACGCGTAAGTTATTTCTTTTTATATTTTAAATGCTCTATCGCCTTTTCGAGGAAACTTTGTGCTTACGCGAGAAAAGGTTTTGAAAAATCGTTTCGTTGATTAATAGTTCGCTGTAAAAGGTTCTTTTTTTCTCTTTTTCTTTTTTTTTTGCTCGTAAAAGTCGTTGAAAGCAGAAAAGGAAGGGAAGGGGGGGGGGGTAAAAAAAACGGGGCGAATCCCTAAAAATTTAAATTAAAACGTGTCAGCAGAATTTAAACTTTGTCATCTTAATAATAATAATAATAATAATATTTATTATCATTTTCTCGTCATCATCATCATCGAAATCATTTTTTTTTTTTCTGTTGGTAAAATTTTTTTTTTGTTTTTCAGATACAAACATAGAAGATTCGCCGAGGGGGAGACGGGAGAAAACAAAAAGAGGAGAAATATTAATAATAATAATAATAATTACTAACTGCTATCCGGGGGTGAGTGTTAAAATTATTATTAATAATATCGTTTGCCGAGTATTTTTTTCTATTTTTTTATTTTATTTTTATTTTTTGTTTTCGAAATGGAAAATTCGAGAAAATTTTGTGATATCGAAGTTGAGAGATTATTTTTCTAATAATTCGTTAAAGTTATATTTATTATCATTATTATTGTTTTAAAAAAATTTGTTTTTGTTTTCGTTTTCGGATTCGGTTTTATTAAATAACGGAAAAAGAAAAAATATTTATTTTGTTAATATATATATATTTACAAGAAATATATTTTGATATGTTAAAGGTCACACGAGGTCATTTTTCTTTTTTTTTTTTTCTTTCTTCTCTTTTCTTTCAAATCATCATCATCACCATCATCACCATCATCACCATCATCATTATCATTATTATTACATTTCACTTTCCTCGTGAGGACATTTTTGTTAATTTTATCGTGTGATAAGGTAAAGGAAAGTATTTCAAATCGGTGGGATATTTTTGTTAATTTTATTGAGTGATAAAGTAAAGGAAAGTATTTCAAATTGATAGGATGAACGGTTGTTGTGATTGTTGTTGTTGTGGTTGTTGTTGTGGTTGTTGACGAGTCTCCTGAGGGTAGTGCGTAAAATTAAAAATAATTAGGTAATTACTTCATCTTTTTTTACTCATAATAATAATAATAATAGTAAAAGAAGAATAAGATAAAAAATATAAATATTAGTTTGTCTGTTTGTTCGTTTGGTTGTTGCGATTGTTACGAAAATAAAATTCGAATTAACAAAAAAAAAAAAAAAAAAAAAAAAAACATTACAAAAGGCGGAAATATGTAAATTTTTTTTTTTTTGTTGCCAACCATTGATTTTCATTTTCATAATGGCGCATATAAATAAAATTATAGTTTTTTTAATAGACGGCGGAAAAAGGGAAAATAAGGAAAGAGGGAGGGAGAGAGGAGGAGAAGGGAGAAAAAGTTGACGTATTCATCAAATCATGGGTTTTATATTTTTTTTTTCTAGAAAAAAAAAAAAATAAGGAAAAATTTTCCTTATTATTATTATTATTGTTATCAAGTGTCGGTTATTACGGGAGATTTAGGGTGACGTTCGATGAATCGTTTTGTCGTCTGCTTTCGTTTCTCCTAACAGTAAATTATCATATCGTTTTAAATATTACCTATTACTTATTATTATTATTAATAATTATTCTTATGAGTTATTGTTAGGTTACGACAAAAACTTTAAAACCGTTTTATCATTTAAACATTATTAT